AATAACAAAAATATAAAAATGTGATATTCAAATAATAATAACAAAAATATAAAAATGTGATGTTTAAACAGGGTTACCACTTGATTTTATCAATATTACTTTTTCTTCAGAAGAAACATATCTCACTTAAAGGAGAGCAGTGTTTTATAGAAATTAGATATACGAATAACAAAAGTGATATTTCAAAACGTCATGTGATACGTCATGATGTAAGAACTTAGAACAGTGACAATCATATAGTAACATTTTACATATACACACTATATATATATATATATATATATATATATTATCTATTATAATAATACTCCGTTTTTTAAAATGAGTGCGCATCTTACTATCTAAATGCACATGCCCGCGCATTTCAACGGATGTGCTCCGCCCACCACGGGTATCGAAACCCGGTTTCTAACAGTATAAGTCCGCAGACATACCACTGTGCCACTGGGAGGCGTATATTTTAGTGGACAACATATTGAAAGCTCATAAAAGTTTTCTAAAAGGTGTAACGTTAGGTCGTATGATAACATTATAAGTTTGTATATTGACAGTAATAAGTACGGTAAAGTTTAACCCTAACTAAACTGAAGCAAAAAACGTACATAAGCTACACTGTTAATTTATCTCTTTATCGAATATAGGCTGTACTTAATAAAGGTTTAACTAATGTTTGGCCTAAGACAAGTGGACTTATAGATTTTTGTGTCCGCGGTTAGAATTCTTTTTTATCATTCTTGAAATCCTGTTATTAAAAAACTACTATTGCAATAATGATACTAATTTGACCGCAAATGTTTTTTCGGGTATCTACTAGTATATAATTAAAACCTCGAGATACAAGTATTCAGGTGAAAGCTAACTTCCTCAGTAATAGTAATACATTATACTGTTCACCGTTTCCACGCATAATGTTCAATACGAAGGTATAACACAGCTTAAATTGAGTTAAATGAACAAACTTAGGACATGTTGAAAGAAGGTTAGGCATCTGATCAATCGCCTCTGTGATTTTTCAATGAAATATTGAAATATGAGTCAACGTGTATTTTAACATTATTTGTTTCAGAAGTTCGTGCATAGCTACACAGAGACTATCTGCACTTGCCGTCCCTAGTTTTGAACTAAAAGACTAGATGGAAGGAAGCTAGTCAACAACACCAACTGCTAACTCTTGGGCTGATGTTATTGAATTTCACTGTCATTCTCACAACGCATCCACAGCTCCAAAGTGCAGAGAGGAATTTTACGGAATCAGGAACCCTCGGATCTACAATCCGGCACGTTAACCGCCAAGTTTGTTCCCTTTTTAAATAAAGAGAAAACTTCGTATATTTATAGATATCTACAATCATAATGCTACAGGGACACCTACAGACCCGTATTTGACCTCGTATCGCTGGATGCTATTACGAATTAATCATGCATGAGCTAATTAGAAATAGCACTGGGTCCATGCTTACGGAATCTATGATCCCATAACGTTGGCCAATAGCAACACATATACAATCATTAACTCAAGGCCTCTCGCTTTACCTCATCTGGCTTGCATGTTGAATGGATAGGAATGATATTATACTTTAAATATTAACGAGTAAATCACTTTATTTCCCAGTATTGCAATACTGGAGCAATGAATATAAAAAAGCAACATTTTTCACCTGCAGTGGTTTGCTGCGTGGTAAATATACTTATATGTGGCACGATAGACTAACATCTAATCTGACGTAATAAATCTGCATTATGCTGTCTTCCAAAGCAAAGGTTGTAAATGTGTACAAAACACGATACTTCTTCTGGTGGAAAATAGGCGGGGAAGTAATCTAAATATTTCATATAATTAAAATATTTTTGTTGTCTTTTGTTTAACCGTTCTTTGATGGCTCAGAAATAAACTTAATAGTTTATAATGCTAAAATTCTTGGTTTCCATCCCTATGACGGCTACAGCACAGATAACCCGTTGTGTGATTTTCGGCTTAGCAACAAACAGTCTCTCCGATTTTTAGATATTATGTGAATAATAATAAAAACTAGAACACTTTATTTTCATAGTCTTATTTATATAATATGAAAAACAGGTTTTACTTCAGAGTATTTATTTTTGTATCATCTGAAGTAAGGTCAGTTTACAAACAAATCGATTATCTCATGAGTAAACTTTCTAATCATTAACAAAAAACAAACATACATAAAATAACTAGTTAATTCAAAGCTGTAAGAAGAAATATATCAGTGTTACTTATATCCCCCCAGTGGCTCAGTGGTAAGCCCGTATGTTTATAACACTAAAAACCGGGTTTCGATATCTGTGGTGGGCACAACAAACAAAATTTATATTCACTCTGAAACTTGCAATACAGATGAATTCTACAGACAATGTTGAATTAGTATTTTATGTGTCTGGGAATTTAACAGCAGGTTCAAGATTTTTATATTAGAGTTATAATATTTTATCTTTTGCAGAAATGCTTAATTTGTCTTAAAATCTATTTTTAACTGTCTAAGAACTTATTTAATCTAACAGTATTTAATTTGTCTTAAGGTATTTTAGGGTTGGGGGCTCCATATAACACGTTATCATATTTTTTCACATATATCTGAGTTTTATCTAACTTCAGGCCTACCAGAGTTTAATGTGTGGTTGAAGTGTAGAAAATGATCGCATTGTAAATGTTTGGAAAGCCTAAGTTTAAACTCTATTTTCACAACACACTTCCTGCTTCTTCCTTTTTTTAATAATATTTAATACGAAAATCTTAAAAAGAATAGAAATATTAGATTATAAGTTAACATATGCCTACTTTTTTTCCGTTATCGTGACAAAAATTCAATGACACATGCAAAAAATAAAAATACCAGTTTAATATGTCATCTTCTAATAAATAATAAAGTGGCCTCTCATACTAACGAAGTGCTTTTCTCTTCTGTATGTATATATACGTATGGCAATTGTGCTGTGCAAAGAAAATATAAACACTTCTATAAGCCTAAGATTGACGTATATGGGGATAACAGCATGTTGAAACTATCACAATACGTTGTAAATTCTCACTACCTGGATGTCACCTGTTTATTTTCTTTATTGTTACATGAATCCTTCTATTTTGCGGAACATCATCACAGTGTAGTCTATCTGCGTATATGCACATACAAATAATTAGTTCAGGGTTCAAATCATGCCAACGTTACTTGTAAATTATTTTATTTTATTTAACCTCAGTTTAACCTGTTTCTTTTAATACTGTACTTTTCTGCCCTTCGCATGGACAAAAGCTAAATCGAATCTAACTATCCATCTCTCTGCAACGTTTCTCGGTCCACACCATACTCAAGCTAGTCTACTCAGAATGGTTAAATGATCATACTTTCTACACTTATGACACTTTTCATCACTTATGCTTCCAGCAAGAGTATTCTTGTCTTATCCATTTTTAAACTATCTCAATAATGTTAGTTAGAAAATTCCGTGCCACTTGTCCATTAGTTTTACACAGTCGCACTTAATATATCAGGGTGTAGAAGCAGAGAATCCTGATGTTCATATAAACACTCTTTAGTAAATGATATAAGAATGTAAAATTCTCTAATATTGTTATTTATCTTATGGCATGATAACTGACGTTCATAGTTCTACTAGTAATGTTCCTCCTATAACCACACACACAAGCATATTTAGGTTAGTGGATGTTATCCAATCAGCCCAGCCTATTATTAAAACTTCAGAAATATAATTATCAAGCTTAATTTACCAACTTTTGAGGTGTTTAATCTTTACTTGATAATAGATAAATAATAAATCTACTTTGCAGAGACTTATGAGTTTACAGATACAGAAAACCATTTCAGTCTAATCATTACCTTGATCTCTTTCATTTGTGAACCGTGGAATAGTAATAACATAGTGGTCTGCTGTATATCATTAATGGCTGATTATGATAAGATGCTAATAAAGTATATCACTTAGATGCATAAAATGAATAAAACTGAGTTCAAAATTTAAATTATACTTAGCAATTTCGACTCTGATATACAAGATCAGCAGTGGGGAAAAGTAATCATAGAAATGAATATTATTTTTAGTCGAGGCAATTTTTCTTTTTTTCTTGTAATAAATGTTATTATAATAATCCATCATAAGTATTACGTAGCTAGGCTATGTGAACGTATATTACGTTTGATAATGTACAATAAAATTAAACCTTGTTTCTTACTGTTTTGAGCAGAAATTAATACTTCTAGAAATATCAGGTTTATCTAAAATTATCCTCAAAAATCTGATAAAACTGAATACTATTCTACGTTTGAATAGGGTACAGCGTTAACAAGCCAGTAATAGTGATGTTAAAGTTAGCCCTGTGATTATATATAGTATGTTCACAATAGCAATAATTATTAAACCATACACGTAATTAGTTCAGATTTTCAGAGTTTCTAACGCAGTACAACAAAAGTCTAACCGGTTATTTCGTATGTATAAACAGTACAATTTGACGTTAAATAAGAGTCTGCAATGAATGTTCCAAATAATTTATAAGCCAGATCATTAGCTCGTGGTCAGAGATAATATTTGATGGATGGGAAATTCTGAAAACTTTTTAAGACTTTGTTTTAGTAGAAACTCAGACTTGCTATAAGTTTCTATTCGAAGAAAGATTACTTTAACGGAATATTATTTTGAAGTCTGATTCTAACAAATACTTCTACAACATTGAAGTCACATATATTTGCACTTTTCTGTCAACAATACCTTTTCCCCTATGTATGATAGTTACTAGAAAACGGGTTACATCCTTTTGTAATAATATATACCTCTACGATTCTATTCACGTTTACATTAATCTGCGTACTATGTACAAAATATAGAAATATATACTTTTTTTTCTTATCTAATATTTTTCGCACTATTCAAATGCGTACTTAATATCCTGTGTCTGAGTTATTATGAGTGTTGAAGACGACACAAGGTGTCCGACTGATCAATAAAGGAAAAAAGCTACTTACTTAATCCTCATCGACACGCTGATCCTTTTTTTCCAAACATGATAAGAGTGAATTTGTGGTTTTAGATTGTAGTCAACTCGGCCATGTATTAGGGTCGCGTATTCCTGAACAGTTTGTTTGTTTTTGGCAGAAAGCTCGTGCACAATATTTTAGAAAAGAAATCGGGCCTAAAGGTCATCCATATCAACACCATAAGCTTCACACATGTGTACACTGAGATTACGACAGTTTTGAGTTCACATTCCTGAAAGACTGCAGATTGGGTAGTAAATCAGGCCAGAACGTCACAATTCTGCGCTACGACCCAAGCTTCCCGCTATAGAAACAGAAATAGCTGCTCGGGGCATGCACCATCCATCCACTAAGACTGTAGGAGCTGCATCTTCGCGCAGAGCACGAGCTCCGCAGTACGCATGGACACATCCATCCACGTGTCTCGCGGGAGCTCTAGAACCGGCCATCAAGAGTCAAGGCTTTCTACCATGTTAAACACTATATATTTCACGCTATAGTCAAACACACGGTACATAATTTGTGTTTGTCTATACATCCCATATGAAATTGACCGTACTTCCTACGTAGACATGCAAGTAATGGTTCGTTGAGCCAACAATACTGCTGCACGAGAGCATTGATTCACAGTTAAGAGTATAGAGTGACAAAAAAGAACCCTTAATATATGTGTTTCCCGAGAAAGTAATGTTTCAATACGTATGATGTTTCAGTTCAGATACACGACTGTGATCAACTGATAATAACATCAACATAGAACAAACTATTTCAGGATGAAATAACTAAATTCGATTTTTTTTCGCTTATCCTTTTTATTATTATATATAAAAAACGTATACAAATATAATTTATTGCTTTCGAGCAGCTATAATGAGGAGAGAGATAGACAGATAGATTATAAAATAATTATAGTCGTCAGGGATGATGATATTTAATTGTGATTAACAAATAATAAAAAAGGCATGGTTGGTTATATATATCTCACAAACGACTGTTTTAAAGCCTATAACAAGTGAAGATTTGTAGAAAAATATTAATAGCAAAATATTTAATATTAGATAATTTGCTGTGATTATACAGAAAATTAAAAACCTCAGAAACCAATTAACATCAGTGTTATATAAGAAAATAATGTATTTCTGTTCTTTTTCTAGTGATGTGTAGAAAGCATTAAAAACATATTGTAAAGTGATTGACAAATTTGTCCCTATAAGAATGCATTTACACACTGTAATGTGTTCGTGTTACTACTTTTCTAGACGTAAAAGTGTACTAATTTAGTAATACATTATTTGTACAAGGAATCTCTGATTCGAGCTGTAATAGAATAATTTTAACGAATATTATAAATTAGAAAAACATCTGAAATCAAGCACGATTACAGTCATTTCTCTGGTATAAATAGCCTCACTGATTTCATATTACTATAATATATATTGTTTTTACTGTGTATAGCTAACATTTCAGATATAATTTTTGCTGTTAGAAGTCCTGCCTAGTTGATGAGTTCTGGTAGTGAACGTGGGGCTTATCTGAAATACTATTTTAATGTTATTACTGGTCGAAATCCGTGAAGGACTAGTTAAGAATGTGAAGAAAAACAACTGCAGTCAACCGTGATTTTAATCACTTTTGTTAACCCTCGTTGTTCCATCAGTTTAGGCGTTTTAGACCACTCCAATACGTAGCTATACTTCCCACAGTAGCTCAGGAGGCAGTGAAATGACAATATCCAAGTTAATGATGTGGTACGAGATAGTATCACACTTAGTATACGTTTAGTGTCTAAAATATTCAACGTGACAACTCACAGCTTTATACACATAAAAATATATAATACACACCAATGAAGTTATCGTTCTCACTTGTTTTCTGCATAAGAGCGAGTGTGACCTACAATTTACGGTACTCTAACCGAGAGCTCTAAATCGCAATACCGCTCCGCACATTGAAGCCGTCGGTGTGCTATAAGAGTGACGGTAAGATCCCATTTTTCGGTCAGAAAAAGAGTTGATGATCGATGGTGTCTATTCAAAATTAGAGACGGTTAATTAAGTGCAGATAGCGGAAGTTTAACTTTGTCGAAAATCCCGAAAAAACTTTCTCCCTAAAAGTAAAACCAGAATTTCTGGATGCCAACGGATCAAATATTCATGGTAGCCAAGTTGTTTCCAATATCAATTGTAAAAAACTTGATAGTTCACTTTAGTTTGAACTGCAAGACATGTAGATGGTTGTTTCCTACCTTCTTTTTATGTAACCATAACTTGTGTGTTAGTCCAAAGTTCACTCTAGTCTGAGCTGCAAGACATGTAGATGGTTGTTTCCTACCTTCGTTTTATGTAACCATGACTTGTGTATCAGTCAAAAGTTCACTTTAGTCTGAGCTGCAAGACATGTAGATGGTTGTTTCCTACCTTCGTTTTATGTAACCATGACTTGTGTGTTAGTCAAAAGTTCACTTTAGTCTGAACTGCAAGACATGTAGATGGTTGTTTCCTACCTTTGTTTTATGTAACCATAACTTGTGTATTAGTCAAAAGTTCACTTTAGTCTGAACTGCAAGACATGTAGATGGTTGTTTCCTACCTTCTTTTTGTGGAAAATTCACACTATCCAGAATTCTAAAGCATGAACGGCTTCTTCTTGTGGAACCATCAGTTGTTTACTATTTAGAAGTTCACTCTATTGAGAACTGTATTACATGTAGATGGATGTCTTGTGGATTTCTTTCTATGGAACCAGGAGCTGTGTAGGATTAATAAGTTCACTCTCTTCAGAACTGCAACACGCAAAGATGGTGACTCCTGGCAACACAAGTAGGTAGTTGAGTCATGTCTTCTTCCTGTATAAATGTGATATATGTATTATTTAAAAGTTCACTCTACTGAGACGTGCAGCAGATGTAGGTGGTTGTCTACAGGCTTCTTTATGTGGAACCATAAGCTGTGTATTACTTGAAAATACGCTCTATTCAGAAGTGCAGAATACATACTTAGTTTTCTCCTCGCTTCTTTGCGTGGAGCCACAAAATGTATACTACTTAGAAATTTACTATTTTCAGAACTACATATATTATGTAGATATGTATCTCCTGGATTTTTTGTGAAGCCAAGAGCTGTGTACTATTTAGAGTTGCACTCTGTGAGAACTTCAATATATCTAGGTGTTTTTATGTTGTTGTTTTCTGGCTAATTTCTGTGATACCACGATGTGTGTACTACATCGAAGTTCACTACACACAGAACTGCAATGCACGTACAGTATTCAATCCTAGCTTCTTTATCCGGAGCCATGAGCTATGTTTTATTTAGAAATACAATCTATTGGGAACTATAAAAGTTATAGATGGTTATCTCCTGGCTTATTTCTCTGGAACCATGAGTTTTGTACTGATTAGAAGTTAACACTATTCAGAATTACAATAAATGTCGAAGTATGTATCGTGACTTTTTTATGGAAAATCATGACGTATTTACTACTTGGAATTATATTCTATTTGGAACTACAATGTACGTAGGTTGTTTTCTCCTGGCTTTATAGAAGTTCACTTTATTCATAAATATAATACATTTAGAAGGTTGTCTTCTGGCCCCTCTCTGTGGAATAATGAGTTATATGCTATTTAGAAGCTCACACAATTCAGAACCGCCTTCTGACGTCTCTCTGGAGAACTATAAAATTTGTACTATTTCGATTTAAGACCTATTTAGAATTGCACTTCCTGTAAGAGGTTTTCTATTGGCTTCTTTTTGTGAAACCATGAACTTTTCACAATTTAAAAGTTCAATCTACCAAGAATTGCAGTATAGGTAGATGATTTTTTTCATGTCTTCTTTCTGTGGACCATTGGCTGTATACTACTTCGAAGTTCACTATTTTCAAAATTGTGTTCCATGTAAGTGGTTGTCTTATGGCTTCTTTCTGTGGAAAGTAAGCTGCAAATTACTTGAAACATCAATCAGTTCAAGACTGCAGTACATGTAGGAGGTTGTCTCCAGGGGTCTCTCTGAGGACCCATGAACAGTGTACTATTTAGAAGCTCACCCAGTTCAGAATTGCAATACATGTAGTTGGTTGTACTACGACTTAGTTCTGTGGAGTATTGCGAAATGCTACACATACAGGCTGTGCGTTACCTGGCTACTTTCTGAAGGAAAATGATGTGTGTGTTCTCTTTACAAGTTTACTCTATTCAGAACTGCAATAAATGTAGGTGGTTGTCTCTTGACTTCTTCTTATCAAACCATAAGTTGTGAACTACTATCCAATTCACTCTATTCTGTAAACTATAATTTTTGAAAGTAGCTGTTTCCTGCCTTCTCTTTTAGGAATAGTATGATATCTACTGCTCTGAAAACCACTCTTATGTTAACAGCAATATGTGTATGTGGTTCACTCCCATGTTTTTTGTTTTTTTTGTGGGTACTACTTGTAAGTTCTACTTTATTAGAACTGTGGTGCATGGTGTAAGTGGTTTGCTTCGTAGTTTTTCTTTGGAAAGTAAACTGTGTTCTACTTGGAAAGTCACTCTATTAAGGACTGCACTAAATGTAGTTTGCTGTCCCCTGGTTTCTTTCAGTAGTACCATGATCTGTGCACTATTTAGAAGTTCAATCTATTTAGAATTGTAATACATTTAGGTGTTTGACTACTGGTTTCTTTCCATGGAAGCGTTAACAGAGTCATACTTGGAAATTTACTTTACTCAGATCTATAGTGCATGTAGGTGTTTGCCTCCTGTTTTCTTTCTATTGGCCACTGAATTATGTACTACTAGGAACTCCAATTTAGAATTGCAAAACATGTATGATGTGTACTTCTTGTAAAATCACTTTATCGAGAACTGCAGAACTTGTAGGTGGTTGTTACCTGGTTCCTTTTTGTGTGACCATATGGTGGGTAATACATGGAAACATCATATTATCACAAACACGACAAATGTAGGTTGTTGTTTAATGGCTTCTTTCTATGGTACCATGATGTACGTATTATTTATAAGTTCACTCTTCTCTGAATAGCAATATAGGTAGTTTGTTGTCTCTTAGATTATTTCTATGTAACCATGAGATGCGTACTATTTAGAAGTTCATTTTATTCAGGATTGCAATACACGTGTGAGGTTTTCTCGTGGCGTCTTTTTCTTTAAAGTCATGAGCTACTTGGAAATTCCCTCTATTGAGAACTGCAATGCTTGAAGGTTCTTGTCTTCTAGCTTCTTTCTGGGGAACATTAACCTGTGACCTACCTAGAAAACCACTTTACTGCAATACATGTACGTGGTTGTTTCCTGCCTTCTTTCTTTGAAACTTTAATCTGTGTACTACTTAGAAAAATCATTCTATTCAGAGTAGGTAGGTAAGTAATTGTCATGTAGGTAACTGTCAACTGACATAGCAGTACAGATAGGTAATTGTCA